TATAACCCCTAAAAACCCCTTTTAAAAGGTACCCCTAACTTTGGGAAAGCCCCATGTTCCATGGTTGAGGACACAAATGCCTCCACGTCGTCCGGCGTGCCGGAGACCAGCTCTAGCGCAACTCGCAAAGCAGACGGTTTCCCTATAGCCGCTGTAAAGGGAGCGTCAAGAACGTGTTCAAGGTTTGGTGTTTAGGGCTGGTCTACTACTATTTGCTTAAGAACCACCCAAAAAATTAAACTATGCTTCCTTATAAGGGGAATGTAGGGATTATCAATTTCCTCAATAGTAGTTTCCATTCTATTTTCCATTATCCTTATATCACCCCTGTATTTAGCCTATATCTACCCCAAGTTAATTTCAGGGTTCTTAAGCAAATAGACTAAACCCTATACCCATAAACCTTAAACCCTTATTTATAGTTTCCATGGCATTGCGCAGGGGGAGCTGCATGGGTGTTGGTCGGCGTTTTGGGTTCTGCTTGGCCCCTGAACCCTAACCCTAGGGATCCAGGTATACCCAAGTATACAAACAATACCTACATTGGGCGCCAAAGACTGTAAATATTACCTACATTGGGCCATGTGGATCCCTAGGGTAACACCAAAATACACCGAACTCCAGCGTTTGATGGAACAAATCTTGGTCCCTTATCTACTGCAATTCCTAGGAATCGTGTGACGCAGGGTGGTGCAAAATTTCCCCTCTAACAGCATGGCGTTCGGATTTCCAATTTGGTTCCCATGCAAGCCTTTCCCCCCCATTATCCCCCCATAATCCTTGAAAAACCCAGGTGGTAGGTAAGTGTCCTGTCTTCTCACATGTCGTTGATTGCGGCCAAAATCGGGGCCCTTCTGCGCTTGAGGAGTGCGCGTACTTTTGGCTCAGACATCCTTTTACTTTGTAGTTTGGGGCTGCTAATGTCTTAGGCAATCTACTTCCGAAGGTTTAGGGTTTAGGGTTCAGGGTTTAGGGTTTAGGGAATAGGGTTATACTTGAACTCCAGGGTCCATCAAGGAAGGGGGCCTCATATACGAGTGGCATATAACTAAGGCCTCACTACCACGTCTTCAGTTCTCCTTATATGTATGCCTTTATGCGGCCCCCTTGCTATATGAGCCATAGCTAAGCTCCTTAAAGGGGGGTTATACGGGGGAATACTACAGGGGTTATTAAGGGCCCAGCGTGGGCATCATTTATAGATTTAGAGCTCCAGGGTTAGGGTCCTGACAGAGATCGTTATGGAAGCTGCCTTATGCATGTTTCACTCAGAATGCCATTTCAACCAAAGCTTTGAAAGTTAGGTCTTACCTGTAGCTCCTCCCAAAGCCCAAGCCCACCCCAAAGCCTTAGAATCCAAAAGCATGGACCCCAGCAAGCCTGACATCCTAAATCTAGGTACCCCAGTAGTACCCTTGTTCCCTTTGTATTTTGGGGTTTCCTTATCAAAACTGAAGATTAGGCAAAAGGGTACCCTTATCATAAAGGGGTTACTGGGGAACCTAGAATTGCTCGCATTTCAGGAAGCCGTGGGCCCATCGGAGGCCCCAACTGAAGCTCCCGCCACGACAGTGCTGCCGGGCACGCCAAACACTACTACGCCAGAGGGAGAACCAGCCGGCTACTGGGCAACCCATCGGGGGCTTTGGACTTACTGGTGCTTACGGAGATATAGGAGATATAGGGGTATATCAGGATACTGTAAATCGAAAAAGGTAAGTATTAGATATACATATTTATGTGATGATGTTTGCGTATGTATACGCATATACTGGATGGAATTGAGGGTTGGATTTTGAGGTTTTGGCACGAGTATGTGCTGTAATTACTTTTGATGTCAAGTCCGACGTTTAGTATGCCTTCTCAAAACTCAGCAAAAAGGTTACCGCTCCTGAAACGCCATTCGGCATTTTGTTTTTTTCGGTCAGCTTCCCCCCTGTAGACCCTTTGCATATTGCAGTGCCCCTCCGCGTAAACACTTCTCAGCCCCTGGAGATATTATTGCATTACCTCACTTCCGAGGAGCTGTTAGTTTCCTTCAGAATCCTTGCAGCATCTATCCCTGGGGTCCCAAGCCCCATTGTAGGCTGGGCTGAATGCCAAAGCTAGGGCCGCAGGTGCGCATTAGATATTGTGAGTCTAAACCCTAAGCCCTAAGTGCTAAACCCTTCAAAAGTGCAGTGGCCCAAATCTCCTCTTTGGATCCAAGTATTCAAATAGAATATACTTGGACCCCGAAGCCCGGACTGAGCTGAAATACACACGGTTTAGGGTTTAGGGTTTAGGCAATTTGCCTGGACCTCAAAAGTAGGTAAAGCAATGGCTCTGAACCCTTAAAATCGTCAACGAGGCCATCCCTTTACATACAATTAATATTCATATAGCTATTATTTGTACTATTATTCATATAGCTACTATTTATAATAATGTCATTGGTATTTTTGTAGGACCGCCGAATGCTCGGTATGAGGCTCCACCACCACCAGCGAAGCGCCGATCATTTCGGACGAGAACATTTGCAGACTGGCATGCAGCAATTAGGGTTTAGGGTTTTGGGTGTAGGGTTTAGGGCCTAAACCTTGGGCCAGTCCTCCACCCATTAGTGGATATCAGGATACCTCAAAGGACTATTGGAGGTATAGCAATTACAGCAATCAAGAACCCTAAACCTTGCTAAACCCTAAGGCCCTATTAACTCCATATTTAAGGGCTATTACTACTATAAGGGGGGATTGACCTAACCTAGACCCAAAATGACCAAGAAGTTTGTGACTCAAATCCTTTTCGTTTGCCACATGTACTACTAAGGACCCTAAGCCCTAGCCCTAAACCCAAACCCTAAACCCTAAACCCTAAAACCCAAAACCCTAAATCCTAAACCCTAAACCCCAAGCCCTAAATCCTAAACCCTAGACTGCAGTAGGCCCCATGTAACAGACTGGAGCCTGGAGGCCTGAACCCAGACCAGTCTTATGGTTTATGGTTTAGGGTGTAAGGTTTAGGGTTTAGGGTTTAAGGTTTAAGGTTTAGGGGGTTTGATAGGGGACTATTATAGGGCTTATCAAGGGGGATACTAGGAGTTTAGATTATAGCTGTATTTGGGAAGCCCCTGCAAGACCATCTGTATGCCTAAGGGTCCAAGTACCCAGTAATTGGGTTTCCAAAAATTTGGTCCCTTAAAAGGGGATACATATTTTTCTATCTAGGGGTAGATAGGTTTAGGGTCCAAGTACCCAATAAGTTAGGTACTCGGAATTTCGGAAATAGTAATTGTAGTACAGGCTTTGGGTAAGTATATGATTATTTGGTACTTGGACCCGTAGGGTGTTGGGAAACTCCAGCAGCATGTTTGCCATAGCCTTAACTCCTTAAAGAGGGGGCTATTATATAGGGGACTTCATAGGGGAGCTTTATAAGGGTTATTAGGGGGGATACTCGGAATTTCTCACTACAGCTTCTGTTGTTCCAGTACTGAAGAAGTGAACTCCTTCAG